GGAAGGTGCGGCATTTATGGCCGCGACGAGAAAGGCTGCTCGCTGCCGTGTCGCCATTGTGGGTACCCGCATGCCACCGTCACCTGCACCATCAGGCCGTCGTATTCCGAAGCGGCGTCCAAGGATTTCCCTCTACTTCAGCCAGGGACGCCCGTCTAAGACACGGTGCGATGGTTCGTCAACGCGAACCGCCGGTAAAGACCATCGACCAAGGTGCGCCAATCGCGACGCTGCACCAACGCCACACTGCGTCCCCAACGATTCTGGACCTGGTAATTACTCCCACGTTCTGAAAACTCAAGTTGCCCGCGTCCTGTAGCCATTTCTGAGGAATCGCAGGCTAAGCCCTCGTAAGACAAGGTACCGCGTGACGAAGGCGTCTCAAATGGAAATATTGCATCTGACGCTCCTCGCGTGGCTGCTCAATCTACCACAAGTTCAGGTGTCATGGAGGAGTCTGCATCTCAAGACGACGACGCCTGCATCTACGAGGACTCCGACAGCCTCACAAGAGAGGCGTTCTTACAAATTGACGAAGACACCAGCCCCAGTGACATAAGACAGGACTGTGTAGACGCCTTTGTACCATCCTCGATCAAGAACCCGGACGCCAAACGCCACCGGATATCTGCTAGTGACTCAGAAGCTCTAACAGAGACAGAAGTCCCCTGCAGACTTCGACGTGGTCCTGGAAGCCCCGAGCCTCCGGTGGATCACCTGGCCGTAAAAATGACTCAGCCACTCCCGGGGCACCGGCTCCCGTGCCTGCTAATGGTACCGCTGCATTTGTGTGATTCTATATTACGTTTTAATTTTCCCCATGGTTCGTGGTCTAGAAGTTATTACTTTTAACGTTCAAGGTTCTCGCAATCCACAAAAAATGGCAGAATATCCACGGGGTGAATGATGGAGAGTGGGGCAAAGCATCCGTCCGTCCATTCGTTCTTGCTTCCATCTGGCCATGCGTCCGTCTGTGTGACCGTCCTTGCGTCAATCCGCCCGTCGTGCGTGTGTCTGTTCAGTGCATCCGCACGTCCAACTGTGCGTCCATCCCTGCGTTCGTCCATGCATCCGCCCTTGCGTCCATCCGTCCATGCAGCCATCTATGCGTCCATCCATGCATCTGTCTGTGTGGCCGTTCGTCCATCTATTCAACACTCCAAATACCACCATCTCGCATCTTTTCATCATATATTCCCCATATAGAAGCACCGCCACCCTGCAGACATTCCAAGGACTAAACGAGAGGTGGCGCACGCACACTTTCTTACGGCTTGCGCTTCGTGCCTACTTCCACCTTTAACCACCTCGAGTTCATGGTATATACTAGTTCACTGTATTCATGGCACTGCGGCTCAACGCTCGCTAAACCTTTCTAAAACCAAGGAGGTTACGCCCAGCGAGTAGAACGTAGCAATCCTTTCTTGTCAGATAGTGTTCAATGTACATGCCAATGGCTGCTAATGGGGAATGAGAGACAGGAGAATTCGGCTTTTACTTTCTTATGGCTTGCACTTTGTATCTACTTCCCACCTTTAACTACCTCCAATTCACTATACTAGTTTTATACTACTAGTGCTCAATGTACATGCCAATGGCTGCTAATGGTGAATGAGAGACAAGAAAATTCGGCTTTTAGTTAACGCGCATGCCGCGAATTTTTGATTGTTCAACAACTCACAGGAGAAATTTCTCACCAGCACCACCTTGCAGTGTCAAAATGTAAGACTGGTTACAGACTACAACAACGACTACGACTACTACGAGGGACGAACAGGTGCCACTTTAAGGAGCTTCGCCTCTAAAACAGACTGAGGTATTGGCTCTCGCGCGTTCAGTGCACTGTGATTTGCTGTTCTTGCAAGAAACAAATTTTTTCAAGCTTCCTGATGTACTCGCTTTCAAGCGCACATTCAATATTGATTGTTTCTTTTCGTACGCCAGCACGCGTTAGGCTGGCGTCGGAGTCATTTTTAACCGAGGTCTTTTGCGTGACCATCATGTTTGCTTCGATGCCTTCAGAGACGTGCTGGCGTTGGACTGCACCTTTTTTTGTTAAGAATAAGGTTTGTTGCCGTGTATTCCCCAGCGGCGCCCGTGAACTCTGATGCGTTCTTCTAATATCTTGATGCGTTCCTTTTAAATTCGCAGCACGTGGTACTCTTAGGAGATTTCAATTGTGTCTTAGACTCGAACGCAGACGTTCGAGGTCCGGGTCGCAGCCGGTCAAACTGGAATGCCAGAGAACTCAAACGTCTAGTGCAGCAATTGGCATTCAGTGACATTCGTGAAAGTGTACATGGCAGCAGTTATGCCTATACTTGGCGTCGAGCAGCAGAATGATCGCGTGTACGCATCCCCCGGTCTCATTACCTACGTTCACGACACCAGGGTAATGTCATTGCCACCGACACCAGTGTACATTAGTGACTATCAACTGGTTATGCTCTCTCTCCACCTGCCAGCGGGGACGTCAACGATTCACAGACCATGGCGTTTCGATTGCCGCGTCCTCCAGGACTCTTAATCTACGGGAAAATGGTGCCGAGCGTTACGCGCATTGCTGATTGGGGCAGATATAGCCTATTGGGATCACCTCAAAGAACAGTGGCGCCATCATTGCAGTGCGTCGGACAGGGGACTTCGCACCCGTATGTCGAAGGATGCGTCATTGTTAATCCAAAAAATACGCACTGTCCGTCGTGATCCCAGCCCTTCCCCCGTAATGTGGGCATGGCAAGAGGAGCTCGTCGAACGGTACCAACGTACTACGCGCACTTATTCGCTCTCGGCTGCAGCTTGGCGCTGTAGACGTGCACCCTGTGCGCACCCTGAGGTGCTAAGTTATGCACGCAGAGCTCTGCTTTGTCCACCAGGCTCGCCTGCCCACTCGCTGAACTCTATCACCCCAGCTCCCGCGGGTAGGCGCAACTTTGAGAAATTCACTCAACACTTTGAGTCAATAGCTAAATCTGGTGCTAATGTCTGTTACCCAGGATCCGTTTCTTCACATCCTCTGCTAACCGATTTACCTCATGATTCCAACATGTCAAATGACGTCCTCCTATCACCGCCATCCGATGACGAAATCAAAGGCGCATTAGACGCAACGAAATAGGGTTCGCCCTCAGGGCCTGATGGACTCTCTGCAGAGTTTTATGTACAGTTCTGGCCTATCATTCGTTCTATTAGGTCACGCGTCATTCGCAAGTGTTTCCGAGACATTACCCTTCCGACTTCTTCCCACAAAGGCCGTATAACACTAGTTTCCAAGAAATACCCAATGTCCACGTGATCAGAAGATTGGCGCCCTATTGCCCTGCTCAATGTAGATTACAAGCTCTTGTCCAACATTTTGGTGCGCCAAATCAGTCCATCTCTTGCAACATTGATCACTCCCCACCTGGTCTCTCTGCTTCGGGCCGAGAAATACACACCCATACGTGGTTAACGCATGTGACGTCATTCAATACACCACTGGCCGATGTTCGCATGGTCTATTGGTTTCCTTAGATCAGGAGAAAACTCTTAATTTCATAGAACATGGCTACTACTATGTCTTTTACACGCATTCCGATTCCCGGATAAGTTCATTGACCTCATCCACGCGATGTACACTAATTCAGAAAGTAATTTTTACGTAGATTCTCGTGAGAGTCACCCATTTAAAGTCATGCGTGGGGTCCGTCAAAAGTGTCCCCTCTCACTATTGTTATTTATCCTTGCAATAGAACCCTTCTTAGAGGCCGTTGAACGTCACCCGCAAATTCGAGGCTTACCCCTACCCGGTAACACTCAGTAGAAGTCACTGCATATGTATATGACATTACTTTATATGTACATAATGAACAGTCGCTGCAGCATGCCCTTGATACTTTGCATCATTTCGGCATTATCTCCGGTGCAAGGTTAAACTTTTCTAAAAGCGAGTATTTTTTCATTGGCAAGCCCAGTGGTCGTATCAACATCACGTCGCCTTTACAGTGGCCTCCTAACATTGCAATAGTCGGAGTTACGTCCACTGCATTTGGTGTACAGGCCAGCATCTGGCCATCCGTTGTACAATCTCTTCAAAGTGATAGCAAAGCAGATAGGCACTTCGAATTCCCCCTCTTGGAACGCCGATACTTAAATCACATGGTGTACCTCGGAAAATTTCGGTACCTTTGGCATTCTGTTAAACGTTACTCCACGTCTGCAGGAAAGTGCACAGCTTCATCAGTTCAATTTTTTGGAAGGTGCGGCATTTATGGCCGCGACGAGAAAGGCTGCTCGCTGCCGTGTCGCCATTGTGGGTACCCGCATGCCACCGTCACCTGCACCATCAGGCCGTCGTATTCCGAGGCGGAGTCCAAGGATTTCCCTCTACTTCAGCCAGGGACGCCGTCTAAGAACAGGTGCGATGGTTCGTCAACGCGAACCGCGGTAAAAGACCACGACCAAGTTGCGCCAATCGCGACGCTGCACCAAACGCCCACTGCGTCCCCAACGATTGTGGACCTGGTAATTACTCAACGTTCTGAAAACTCAAGTTCCCCGCGTCCTGTAGCTATTTCTGAGGAATCGCAGGCTAAGCCCTCGTAAGACAAGGTACCGCGTGACGAAGGCGTCTCAAATGGAAATATTGCATCTGACGCTCCTCGCGTGGCTGCTCAATCTACCACAAGTTCAGGTGTCATGGAGGAGTCTGCATCTCAAGACGACGACACCTGCATCTACGAGGACTCCGACAGCCCCACAAGTGAGGCGTTCTTACAAATTGACGAAGACACCAGCCCCAGTGGCATAAGACAGGACTGTGTAGACGCCTTTGTACCATCCTCGATCAAGAACCCAGACGCCAAACGCCACCGGATATCTGCTAGTGACTCAGAAGCCCCTAACAGAGACAGAAGTCCCCTGCAGACTTCGACGTGGTCGTGGAAGCCCCGAGCCTCCGGTGGATCACCTGGCCGTAAAAAATGACTCAGCCGCTCCCGGGGCACCGGCTCCCGTGCCTGCTAAAGGTACCCCTGCATTTGTGTGATTCTATATTACGTTTTAGTTTTCCCCATGGCTCGTGGTCTAGAAGTTATTACTGTTAACGTTCATGGTTCCCGCAATCCACAAAAATGGCAGAATATCCACGGGGTGAATGATGGAGAGTGGGGCAAAGCATCCGTCCGTCCATTCGTTCTTGCTTCCATCTGGCCATGCGTCCGTCTGTGTGACCGTCCTTGCGTCAATCCGCCCGTCGGTGCGTGTGTCTGTTCATGCATCCGCACGTCCAACTGTGCGTCCATCCCTGCGTTCGTCCATGCATCCGCCCTTGCGTCCATCCATCCGTGCAGCCATCCGTGCCTCCGTCCATGCATCTGTCTCTGTGTCCGTTCGTCCATCTATTCAACACTCCAAATACCACCATCTCGCATCTTTTCATCATATATTCCCCATATAGAAGCACCGCCACCCTGCAGACATTATAAGGACTAAACGAGAGGTGGCGCAGGCACACTTTCTGACGGCTTGCGCTTCGTGTCTACTTTCCACCTTTAACCACCTCGAGTTCATGGTATATACTAGTTCACTGTATTCATGGCACTGTGGCTCAACGCTCGCTAAACCTTTCTAAAACCAAGGAGGCTACGCCCAGCGAGTAGAACGTAGCAATCCTTTCTTGTCAGATAGTGTTCAATGTACATGCCAATGGCTGCTAATGGAGAATGAGAGACAGGAGAATTCGGATACTGGGGAGAATGAGACGAGAGATCCTCGCGTTCCTCTCCGAGGAGCTTTTCTTCCTCGGGGAGCAAGAGTTTCTGCGGCATTGGTCGTGCCCTTTCGTCAAGGTTGAAGATGAAAGAATGCAACTAACTTTTCGACCGATTTGGTGTTATATTTGTTACATATCATGTTTCATTGCATCTATTGTATCGTTATACCATCGTATCATGATATCGCATTGAGTTCTTGTGTACATATATGCCAACATTGTCATGTATATTAGAGCAAATGTCTTCACTGTAACGTAGTGATGTTAGTCGTGAAACAAAGATGTGCCGAAGTGTATGTGCCCTGTTACTCAAATGGTGTGAAGCCTTTGTGTTCTGTACATGCTGTAAATAAATTTTTTCTAAACAAAACCACAAACCACCGTGATTATGAGAGACGTCGTAATAGAGGGCTCTGGAAATCTCGACCACCTGGGGCTCTTTAACGTGTGCCCAAATCTGAGCACACGAGCCTACAACATTTCCGCCTCCATCGGAAATGCAGCCGTCGCAGCCGGGATTTGATCCCGCGACCTGCGAGTCAGCAGCCGAGTACCTTGGCCACTAGACCACCGCGGCGGGGCTCGCTGGGCGTGCGAGGAAAACGCTCCTTCTTAATTGCCGAACGTCCACAGCTCATCATGCCCCTAGTAAGATGGCCATCTTGCAATGGGCATGGCTTCACTCGTGGGCGATAATTTCCACACCAACATTTTTTTAAAACTTCCTTGGTGCCATTTAACTACATCACGTTCCAGAGCTATAAATCACTCGAATATTACACAAAACCCAGCCGGGACTGTGGTGAACGTCATACGACTTCCTCGGTTGCGGGAGACTGCCGAATGTAATCGTAGTCCATTGCCCATCGCCTTGAGGCCCGAACAACTACCGCGTTTCGAAATGGTTGAGAGCCGCCCAGGTTGGAAATTCAATCTCCGAAGAGGAGGCGGCTCGCGGTCGGTTCAGAACTCGAATGGCACTCCAGTCCCGCAAAACTGGCAAGGCGTGCTACGATGACGCAGTCTTAGTGCTCTTTGGCGTGTAATATTGTTACGTGATTTCGTCTGACTGAAAGAGGGCATAGTGGGGCATACCCAAGTAAGGTGCCTCAGACTGAGAGCGAAGAAGTGGACGTTGTCGGTGAGCTGCGTTGTGGCTGTGGATTGACAACTGTTATTTTCAACGTAACATTTTGGTGAAAGTGCTGGGTGCTCTTCTGACAACGGAGCTACGCAGTGGACGCCTCCTTAAGTCTGCTACCATGGCTCTGGGTGAGGATACGGCTTCGCCACCTACCTCAGCAACGACAGCGACCCGGTACGTCGCCCTAACGCAACCCCGTGATCCCGGTACCTTTAGTGGAGAGGACAACGTGAATGTGGACAAGTGTCTTAGCATGTACGAGCGCATCAGCAAGCAATATGGCTGGGACCCAACCGTTATGCTTGCGAATGTCATTTTCTATCTTGACAAGACCCCTCGCATCTGGTTTTAGACCCACGAGCACGAAATCACAAGCTGGGAATTGTTTAAACAACAGCTCCGCGACCTTTTTGGCAACCCGTTTGGTCAACAGCTTGATGCCCGAAAGCAATTGGCTGTATGTACACAGACGTCCACTGAGCTCTACTTGACTTATATTCAAGACGTCTTAGCGTTGTGTCAAAGGGCCGATCCCAACATGACTGAGGCCGACAAGATTTCGCACGTTTCAAAAGGAATCGCCGACGATGCGTTCAGCCTGCTTGTATTTACCAACGTAACGACCATCGACGCCATGATGAAAGAGTGCCGCCGTCTCGAGCAGGCGAAGAGTCGACGCATTTTGCAGCAGTTTCAGCGCCTACCCAACACCGCGGCAACGTCGTCTTGTGAAGCCACTCCTTGTCATCCGTCTACAACCGAAGACGTGACGCGCATCGTCCGACGTGAACTCGAGGCCGCTTACCCGGCTTCCAACAAACCGACGTTGCCTGACGCCTCAACGCCAGCTGTCGCCTTGATCCAGGCTGTTGTCCGCCAGGAATTCGCTAACCTTCGTATCCTGCCCACTGCATCCACACTGAATAATACTGGTCCCTCGATAGCTTCTGTGGACATGAGACGTCGCCGTCCGTACTCTATTCGAACCAGGAACCCGTATGAATGGCGAACAGCTGATGATAAGCCAATCTGCTTCCTCTGTGGTCGCGCAGGACACATCGCTCGTTACTGCCGCAGCCAATGGTCATCCATGTCTTCTGGCTCGTACCCCGCTTACAGTAACTTATTCCGTTCACCAAACCACCGTTATCCGACCCGCACTGAGTCAACAGCATTTACTGCCCCTGAGGACTACGGCCACCCTGCCCCGTCGTCGCCACCACCTCAAAGCCGCCCTTCTCGTTCAAACACGCGTCGCCACTCTCCCTCGCCATCGTTCAACCGCCGCATGTCCCCGGAAAACTAGGCTGCGCAGCTTCTGGAGGTGAAGCTGCCCTGTCGACTTTACCCAAAAATCCTCTGTTGCCCTTACGTTTGAACCGGAACACCCTAGAAGTATATGTTGATGGCACACCTGTTGAAGCTTTGATAGATACGGGCGCTCACGTTTGTATTATGAGTTCGCGTTTTCGTCGTCACATGAAGAAGGTCCTCACGCCCCCCTTGACCAGTGTCGTCCAAGTTGCAGATGGTGCAAAAGTCCCTGTCATCGGTATGTGCACAGCTAAACTTACCGTAGCCGGTCATCAAGTGGTCGTCCTTTTTACCGTGCTTGCAACATGTCCCCAAGACCTCATACTAGGCCTCGATTTTCTTGCCACCAAATCTGCTCTGATTGATTGCTCCGCTGCTGTGCTCCGCCTTGAACTGCCACAAATCAGTGCCGCCCCGTACCAACCTACATGCCGATTACAATGCAGCGATTTTGTTCGCCTGCCTTCCAAAACTGTGACGTACGTCGATTTTCTATGCTCACCAGCTGCGCCCGACGGTGACTGTTACGCTACGCCTCTCACCGACGTACTCCTTGCGCACAATGTTGCAGTGCCCTATATGGTGCTCAGCATCACAGATAACAAAACTTGTCTACCTCATGTCAATTTCGGCTACATGAATCATGTGCTTCCACAAGGCATTTCTGTGGCCCACCTGTGTCCGTTGCTCGATTCACAAATTTAAGTGCTTGGCTTAGACACACTTGTTTCACCGCAGCGCACATCACTCGCAACACATTCGGGCAGCCGTCAAATTGTCGACATGATCGCCACTGATCTTCCGCCTCCGCAAGTTGAAGCCCTACAACATCTTCTCGAGGCCTACCAGGATATTTTAGATTTTGGTGACCGACCTCTTGGGCAGACGTCCTTTGTCCAGCATCGCATACACACAAGTGATGCCAACCCATTTCACCGCCGTCCCTACAGAGTGTCTGCTTTTGAGCGGAGCATAATTCAGAAGGAGGTGAACAAGATGCTAGCGAAGGACATTATTGAACCATCCTCCAGTCCCTGGGCATCCCCGGTGGTATTAGTTAAAAAGAAGGACGGATCGTGGCGATTTTGTTCGGACTATCGCCACCTTAACAACATCACCAAGAAAGACGCATACCCTCTGCCCCGCATTGATGACGCCCTTGATTGCCTCCATGGTGCCGCCTACTTTTCTTCCATCGATCTTCGTTCTGGTTATTGGCAGATTTCCGTGGACCCCATGTACCGAGAGAAGAAGGCTTTTGTAACACCCGATGGCCTCTACCAATTCAAAGTCATGCCTTTCGGCTTATGTAATGCCCCCGCCACCTTTGAACGAATGATGGACTCCCTGCTCTATGGATTCATGTGGTCTACGTGTCTTTGTTATCTGGATGACGTGATTGTATTTGCTCCCACTTTTGAAGCGCACCTTGAGAGACTGTCGAAAATTCTTGATGTATTCCGTCTCGCCGGCCTTCAGCTGAATTCATCCAAGTCGCCGTCGCATTACAATACTTGGACATATTGTTGACGCTTACGGCATACAGCCTGACCCAGAAAAAGTTCGAGCTGTGAAGGACTTTCCTGTGCCGAAAACCGCCAAAGATGTCCCCAGCTTTGTGGGGCTCTGCTCCTATTTTCGGCGGTTCATCAAGAACTTCGCGGAAATCGCTCGGCCCCTAACAGATTTACTCAAACCAGATGAGACGTTTACCTGGGGTCCCTCGCAAGCAGCAGCATTTTCCGACCTGACCACTTTGCTCACTTCTTCTCCTGTGCTGGCTCACTTCCAACCTACGGCAC